CAAAAAGAAAAATGACTTTTAATATCAACATCGTGCTTCCTTAATATGAACTGCTCCCTCAAGTCAACAATTGATATTGCTTCTTCTGAGTACATCTCCTTTTAGTTTACAAATCAATACCGGACCTAAGTTATTTCTACCCTACATAAGTTTTAATGCCTGAAATTTCATGTCAGTTAACACAATATAGCTAAGCATTTCCTATTATCGTTGTGCATTCACAGCACATTAATAAATAATTAACAGCCCAGCTGGTCTAAACTGCCAATAAAGAATTTTGTTCCTCCATCTGCAGTTATTTTTGGATTTTAAAAAAAGTCTAAAATGCTTTCCAGCTATTAATCTAAATATTTCCTAAGCAAACTCCTTTCATTAAACCTATTCAGGTAACCATAGACTAGACATAGGGAGGCATGTTAATATTATTATTGATAGAAAAGAAAGTATTCTTTATGTTTCATATCTAACAGCTTGTTCACCTGCACTGTTCTCTATTTACTTAATATTAGAATTCAAATGCCTTCATTTTGCTAGCAGTTATAATACACAGATTGAAATAAATAAGACCAATCTGAAATGAAATTCTACAAACAGTAGCTTTAATGAATGTCTGGCTCTACTCATAGATTATGTTATAAACTAAACTATGTAACTGTGAAATATTTATGAGTTAACACCTATGAGGGAGCTGGGGTGAGAGTAGCTATTTGACAGATATTAATGCTTTAGTGACATTATATCCAATCCTTCATTTAATAAGAAAATATCTGTTAAAATTAATTTCCCCACATTTACTTTTTTCATGGAGTCAAATCCCACCAATGTTTCTCCTTGATCAGGGCATAGGTCATGGGAACTTCAAGATCCAAAGGGTTAGATCACCTACTGACATGTCTATAGATTCAAAGAAGGGCTCTGTGGATGAGGAACTCCTAGCATCACTAAAATAAGGCAGAGGTTTTCCATTATTCTAGTTCTTATTTCATAGCACCATTCCCGGGCAACCAGGAGCAACTCCCAAATCATTTCTGACTTCTACATGTTTCCCACCTGGGACAAAGACTCTCCTTCGCAGCACCATGGCAACCACAGCTGCTACACAAGAACTTGGGTTCACGCAGGAAAATGAAAATTCTGAAAGGAAGCTAAAAGATAAAGGCTTACTATTCCTTGTTTCCCACTGGTCGGAAGTAATTACAAAAATTATTTCAACACTAAGCTTCTAGTGAATGAACAGCTTGTCATTTGAGGGGAAAAGCCTAAGGGCCTGGGGATTAAATAAAATATGAAAAGCTGACTGATATCATACAAGTATAGCCTGCCCCCGCCACCCCACCAAACCCCGCAAATGGACTACCTAAAGCTCGTTTAATGATGACAAGACAGACATTTTTTACAGACAGTAAGGGATATAGTTGCCATTTTTAGACAGTTTAGTTTAAACAGATTATTAATAGTAGATGTATATTTCATGATCCTTTAATATTACATTCACCATGTAGTTACTAATTTAAGTTTTAAAAAGAGAACAAAGTGTGAAATAATTTTGTCTAAATCAAAGATGCCAAAAATGTGTGATTTCTAAAATTTTTAAGCTGAAGTCATGAAAAAACAGAAGCAAATTAAAGTTTCCTCATGATGGAGTAGAAAATGTCTTTATCATAAGCATGCCAAGTTAATGTTTGCTGTTTACTGCAAAGAATAGTATTCCATTGCCAGACACTGGCAATGCTATGTGGTATGGACACATGCCAGCTCAGAACTGCACTAGATCAGTGCACACTGCCAAAAGTAGAGCTGCTTTCCATCGTAGCCTTAAAACAAAGGAATTCGAAAGCAGAGCACTGAATGTGTGATTTCACAACTTCAATGAAATCTTAAAGAGCTCTTTCCAGTTTTTCACATTTTTAAAAACAATACAACTTCCCTCCTAAGTGTCAAGGAAAGCTCATCCGGGTTCTGTGTGGGACTGGTTAATGCCTGTCGTATGTATAGTTTTGTACCCAAATTGTACATGTTCTTGTGATTGTTAGGATCAGAATCATGACTCCATGGCAAATGAAATGAAAAGTTGTGTGGTGTCTCATCCTCCATTATACTCAGTAATTGCTTGGTACTCTATGCTCTAGTGTCCCATATGATAAATCATACTCTCAATAGGCTCCAACGGTGACTTTTATTGAGAACTCGCATAAACACCAACGCTGGGAGGTCTGACTCACTACCATTAAGTTGATTTCAACTCATAGTGACCCTATGGGAAAGAGGAGAACTGCCTTTGTGGGTTTCTGAGACTGCAACTCTACACAGGAGTAGAAAACTACTCCTTCTGCCAAGGAGAAGCTGGTGGTTTTGAACTGACTTGAGGTTAGCAATCCAACACCCAGCCACCACACCACCAGGGTGGTGATAGATACTTGTGTTTGGCCAAGTGGATTAAGTTAGGGTTCTTGCGTGTGGAAGAAGCAGTTTCTTATTGTTGTTGTTACTTTTGACTTTGGCTTTGGCTTTTAAGGAATTAATGCTCTCATCCACGAAAGCCACCATCTTTGATGCACTCTCCGTTATGAGCAATGCATGCCTTCAGATATTCAGTGACACAGACTTGGGAATGAGAGATTAAGACAAGCAGAAATACTCCAAATGCCATAAACCGGTACCTACAGCATGACCTCCAGGGGAGCCTGTACCTTCCTTTACCGCAACATACAAAAGCGCTCCTAAAGGGAAAATTCTGTGCTCTCTTAATTTCAGTTTTTCAACGAACAGTTTGAAGCCCCCTCAAATCTATGAAGTCATTCAACTTGGACTCTGGTCCATGATTATGAAAACAGAATAAGCAGGCTTCATTTCTCTCTAATGTATTGTCGATCTTAATATGCCAAAAACAGTTTGTACTTATTATCCTTGATGAAACCTATTTCTGTATTTTCTTTTATATCTTATACCTAAATTCTGAAAAGCTAACACCCAGTTCAGGATTCCAAGTCATCTTGATCCCTATTCCTCATTCCACCCATAGCATCTAAGCCATCACAAATTCTCATTGTTCTTGCTCAAGCTCTACCCATTTGCTCCTTTCCTCCATATCACCACTGGTCATCTAGACCAGTTCCCAATCTGTTTGAACACAGACACAGCACTTAAATGAATGTCAGTTCTAAGGAGCTAGCTGCCAAAGCAAGAATTGTGATAAGGCATTTACTTTGATAATTAGGAAAATAATTGCAGAACATATATTTTAGAGGACATACTGAATATCCAGAAGGGATTTAATCAGAGATTCAATTTAAGCAGAAAGGTTCGGAAGATTATGCACTTATCCAAAGTAACCCAGCCAGTTCATGACAGAGACAGTACCCAGAGCCATCTATCTAACTCTGGCACATTCCTTTTTGGTTACCCTATGGTGACTTTCTTGGATAGGAAAACATGTCATTTTAACATAGCTAGAAATTAATTTCTGTTTTGTAATGCAGAAACTTGTGAGACAATTCTGAAAAAGTTTCTCAAGAAATATTCTGTTAGTACAGCATTTAAGGAAAATTGGTGCCATCTGAAAATCACACTGATAGGCAACAACCCTTACAACATAAGACATCATTAATCCAGAAGAAGGTAAAATAGAAGATTATACATAACATCCAAAGGTAAGATACTTTTTGAATTTACTGGAGGTATTAACAATATGTTTACAAGGGGTTTCAAAAGGTTCATGGAAAATGGAATAAAAAAATAATGGAGTTGAGGGCAACAAGTGTATAGATGTGCTTTACACAATTGATCTATGTATTGTGATTAATTGTATGAGTCCCAGTAAATTGATTTTAAAAAAATTTTTTTAAAAATGAGCTGATACCAAGGGCTCAAGTAGAAAGCAAATGTTTTGAAAAGGATGATGGCAACAAATGTACACATGTGCTCGACACAATGGATGTATGGATTGTTATAAGAGCTGTAAGAACCCCCAATAAAGTTATTTAAAATTTTTTGGTAATAATAATAAAATAAAGAGAAAGTCAAAAAGTGTTGCTATAAAAGAATAATAATAAACCCTTTCATAAACAAACAAACAAAAATAATAATGGAGTTTTTCTAGGAACTTTTTAAAGCCTCTTTGTATATGAACAAATACATTTATTCAAAAATCAAAGACAGGATTTTAAATAAGCAAATGTATTATCTATTCAATTAATTTCTATAAAGTTTAATTTCTAAGGAGTTACAATTGTTTAGGGAGGTCCAGGGGAGAGTTCCCCTTATTCTTAACTCAGAAAGTTAGCCTGACAAAAGAAGCATAGTCTTTTAAAATTTTGACCAGAAATATAGATCACCAAATTTCCCACCTCATATATAAATATCTCTACCTACCTTATTAAATTATCTCATAACCAAAATAATATCCAATTATATTAAAACAAATAGACAACCAGGAAAGGAAAACTTTAATGCTTTTCTTAACTTTAGGGCACTAGCTCACTTTAAATAATTATCAACAGACCACTTCACTCATTGCCTTCTCCACATGTAATAATTTGGCACAATAGAGCTTAAAATCAAATATTATTTCAAAAAGCATCTATCACACTACTCTAAGGATCAAAGGCAACTCTTTGCCATACCAATATCCCATTTAAATAACTGTAAAATAAAATTAACAATGCATATATGCTTCTAGAAAACACAAATATTTCTGCTTTAAGGTAAGTTAGAGAAAACATAGTTTTGATGTAAAACCGTAAAAATAAATCATAAACAATACATGACAGAAACACGATAATGCACTATAATAAAGTAATAACCTCTAACAGAAACACTTGCATTAAAAAATGAAGCAAGCCATGTTTGCTTATTTATCATTGTAAACTTTTATTATTACCTCCATTTTATACAAAAGTGCATGGCAATCACATCCTCACAATTGATGGGAGGTTTGCTATCTGCATACCTTAAAATTACATTCAACAATTAAATTGTCAATTATTGTCAAAGATGCCTACCTTTGTAGTGGAAGTCTCTGGACATGTCTAAGGGAGCCCGTTCTAAAGCCGATCTCTTGTAGACAACATGAATTCTTCCTTTTTCTTCCTCCATCTGCTTCCCTCTTTCCAAGGGTTCAATGAAATACTCATCATTATCACTCTTGATCATTCCAGCCTATAAGATGCATGAGTTAGGTTAATTTCTAAACATTATCATATTCATAAATTACAAGTAATTTTTAAGCTATTAAAAGAGGACAGTTTTTGATAACTAAGTTTCTTCTTTTTCACATTTGGTTACTCATTTAAAATGGATAAGTGTTATTCAGGATAGTAAAATATACAACTGAGAAATCATTATTAGATGAAAATTTAAAATTCACATAAAGTTGAAATCAAAAGTGTGTAGGTTAAAAGAAGAACAGAATGTGAGCATTCCTCCACACTGACAGTACTGTTTGTGTATTCCATGTAGAACTTGATCGCTAAAAGACAGCTCCTGGGACACAAACTCCATGTCCTCCTGTACTGGTCTGTAGATAGTGCTATGTCACCAGTCTCTTAACTAATTTACATGTGCTTCCCATGGAACGAGTAGCATATTATAATCAGCATACACGCAGTTCTGCTTTTTAAACAAACTTCTTAATATTTAATTAGAAACCCCACAGTTTTAATATTTATTCATTTGAAGTACGAACACCACATTTTCCCTGTCCTGAAACAACTTTATGAACACATAATTTTTCCCTTTTAAAATCTTATCCACCAATACTGAAAAGTTCAAGTCAATCCACCTCTATTTTATTTTCATTTTATGATTCTATTTCATATCCTTTTTTAAAATTATTATTTAGATAAGGACTATACATGGTACAAAAGCATGCACGATCTATCCTGAAGTGCAACAGTACGATAATACTTATATGCCTACAAATAAAAACAATCAATATGACTTATTCAAATTTAAATACTAAATATAGATGTCACATGTGATGAAATGAAGATTACTCCAAGTCCTATGGTTTAACATTGAGTAAACATGCAGTCAAGCTGCTGTGATAATTAGTAGTGAGTAGAATACCAAAGTTAGAAAGATCAGTTGCTAGCAATATGTCCCAGGAAAATGAAAATACAGTGAAGAAATTATTGAGTAATATAATTAATATCAGACCCAAGTGAAGTTCTTCTAAAGAGAATTTATGAACAGTTAATGCAATACATTGATATGAAACTGTCAAAAATGTTATCATGATACAAAATAAGACATGCAATAACAGACCATTGCTGATGTCAGCTAGATATTGACTGAAACAGAGAATACTAAAATTGGTATTGTTATACTGACGATGTGTGATGTTTTAATTAGTGCTATTTTACCTCTCAGGATTCTGATAATATCCATGGGAACGGCTTTTCTTTTGCATCTCCCCCACTTCTACCCAGTAAACTGATCCAAGCGGCCCCCATCATGAGCACATCTAACCCCTAACCTCCCTTTAACTGTCAGTCCTAGAAGGGAACCTTTTCTACAGGGCACAAACTTTCAAGCGTTCATACAAACAATGACAAAAACCGTGTGCTTAACATTTTCAAAACCCAAACAGTTTTACTTATTTAATTTTGTTCTGCAGGTCTTCCCTTCAAAAATAAAACTACTGTTCTCTTAGTAGTTCTGACTGGGGCTCAGGTTTTCTTTCTATGTCCCTTACTCTACCATGGCTTCAAACAAAAGCCTTGTTTTCAGGCAATTCTTTTTAAAAAAAATCATTTTATTGGGGGCTCATACAACTCTTATTACAATCCATACATACATCCATTGTGTCAAGCACATTTGTATATCTGTTGCCATCATCATTCTCAAAACATTTTCTTTCTACTTGAGCCCTTGGTATCAGCTCCTCATTTTCCCCCTCCCTCCCTCACAAACCCTTGATAATTTATCTTTTTTTTTTTCCATGTCTTACACTGACCGATGTCTCCCTTCACCCACCTTTCTGTTGTCTGTCCCCCAAGGAAGGGGTTATATGTTGATCATTGTGTTTGGTTTACCCTTTCTACCCCCACCTTCCCCTTACCCTCCTGGTATCGCTACTCTCATTATTGGTCTTGAGCGGTTTATCTGTCCTGGATTCCCTGTATTTCCAGCTCTTATCTGTACCAGTGTGCATCCTCTGGTCTAGCCAGATTTGTCAGGTAGAATTTGGATAATTTGGATAATAGTGCCAAGAAACATTAAAGGACTAGAGGAAAGCTGTATGTTTCATCATTGCTACAGATGGACTTTGGGTCTCCACGCCACACTCCTCCTCCTTCACAATACGATTTTTTGTTTTTTGATGATGCCTGATAGCTGATTCCATCAACACCTCATGATCACACAGGCTGGTGTGCTTCTTCCATGTGGGCTTTGTTGCTTCTGAGTTAGATGGCTGCTTGTTTATCTTCAAGTCTTTAAGACCCCAGACACTGTATCTTTTGATAGCTAGGCACCTTTCTTCACCACATTTGCTTATGCACCCACTTTGTCTTCAGTGATCATGTCAGGAAGGTGAGTATCATGGAATGCCAGATTAATAGAACAAAGTGTTCTTGCATTGAGGGAGTACTTGAGTGGAGGCCCAATGTCCATCTGCTACCTTAATACTAAACCTTTAAGTATATGTACATAGATCTATTTCACCACCGTCATGTATATTTACATATGTACATGCCTGTGTTTAGACCTCTATAAATGTTCAGGCAATTCATAACACCCCCACCACCTTTAGTAATTCTAATCAAATACAGGCTAAAGGCAGACTTATAAGCTCTTATAATCATGATTGATTTCCTATAAACAATATCAACTAGGAGAAACATTGAGTATCAATAATGAAGCCAAATCAAACATATGACCCTTACTTTTCAAAATAATATTTAAATACAATGATCTCTTCTCCACCCCTAGCCTGTATGTATTTACTACATACAGCCTGGGGACTCTGGCAGGATGGGTCCAGAAGGTACTGGCTCCTATTAACCTTAATCAGTCAGGCTTTTCCCCCTGGCCACTTCAGAAGCAGCTTTTCTCTTCTCAGCTCCAGCATATCGTGCATGACATCCATTAGAAATAACAGTAACCAAAATAACCATTCTAGGAATCAAATGTTTTACTCCATTGACTTCATTCCAGTTTAGTTTCATCTCCTAAAAGAACAAAAGCAGAACTAAAAAACCTCCATGCTTCTATGAGTCTGGAGACATTGCAACAAATCCTACTTCTGATGCCAATGGTGATATCTGAATTCCTGTTCTCAGGGTTCTGATATCCATTGCAATGGCTACACAGAATTCAAAGGCAAAATTCATGATTAAAGGGTTTATTAAGGAAGTTAAGTTGTACTGCCAGTGAGAAATGCTCAGGGCTAAGTTGTTTATCAGGGCATGTTACAAAGTTCTTTCATGTCTGCTAATAAATGTTGAAAGGGTCAGTTAATCCATCTCCCTGAATTAAGTGCCCAGAGGCACTCCACTACAGTGAACCTCAGCCCAAAGGCACTCAACTCAGCTCCACTTCCATGGGTCAGCAAGTTCAATGTTCTCAATTAAGGGCTCGGAGGCACCTCACTCCACAAGCCAGCCTCCTTCACAAAAACACTCAGCTTTACTTGCTCAGTGGGTGGGGAAGTCCACCACTCTGGACTCCTGGATCTTCTGCTGTTCTTTTGATGTGTAAGCTGTTCTGTTGATGTTAATGCTCTCTTTTGGATCCACAAAGATCACTGTGAAGTGATCTTGGGTTCAGAGGACACATTACTCCTGGCTCTTGTTGATAATGAAATCCCGACTCCTGCTTCTGAGAAGGCTCATTTTATACACAACAGGTGGCACTTGAGAGAATCCTGTTCATAATTACTCACAGGCAAATCCTATCAGGATCTTCCTCCACCTTCTTACCAGACCCTACAGGGAAAGGTCAGTTGAAGGGAGTTACAGGGTTTGGTTAGAAGAGCCACATTAAATAATCCACAGCCCGACCCGTGAACGATGCACAAGTCTTGGAGCGAATGGGTCATGATTTGTAGATAACATTGAGAAGAATGTGAATTCCAGAGCCCTTTAGTAGTTTTCAGGCAGAACTTGTACACAGATCAAGAAGCAATCCTTTCAAGAGATCAAAGAGATAGTGTGTGATTCAAAATCAGGAAAATTCTGTGTCAAGATTGTATCTTTTCATGCAGGTTGCATCCTGTTATTCAATCTGTATGCTGAGCAAATAATCTGAGAAACGGAACTATGTAAAGGGCATGGCGGGAGGATTTGAAGATGAATGACTCTGTGACACCCAAAGGACACAACCTTGCTTGTTGAAAGTCAGGAAGACAACATACGGAGGCTGAAGATCAGACTACAGCCTTCCGTATAAAGTACAGTGTGAATTACAACTGAACATAAAGAAAACAAAAATCCTCACAACTGAACTAATGCGCAACCTCATGATAAATGAAGAAAGTGTTGGATTTGTCAAGGATTTCATTTTACTTGGATCCTCAACGAACACCGTAGGAAGCATCAATTGAAAACTCAAATGACGCACTGGGCAAATCTGCTCAAAAAGACCTATTTAAAGTACTAAAAATCAAAGATGTCTCCTTGAAGACTATGTGTTTGATCTAGCCCACGGTATTTTCCAGTCACCTCACATGCATGGGAAAGCTTGATGATGAATGAGAAGGAAGAAGAATGTATGCCTTTGCATAATGATGTTGGCAAAGAAGATGCCATATGCCATAGGCTTACAGAATGCTCCTTGGAAACAAAAATGACAAGACTTCATTGTTCCTTCTTCAAATATGTATCAAAATGAGCCAATCTGTTAAGTGCAAAGGAGGAAGACGGTTAAGGAGATAGACTGACAGTGGATGTAACAATGGACTCAAACCTACCAATGAATGTTAAGGATAGCACAGGAACTGGCAGTGTTGTCTTCGGTTACATAGCAGGGTGCTATAAGCTGGAAACAACTTGACAAACCTGAGGACATATGCAGGAACTATAGTTAAAGACAAATGTTTTTTTCTAAAATGTGTTTTTCAAGTATACTCGCTGCCATCGAGTCAGTGCTGCCTCATTGCAATCTCACGTGGGTTTCCAAGGCTGTCACTGTTTATGGGACTAGAAAGCCAGCCTTTC